CGCTCGAGCGGTGCGCAACCCCTCACAGCAGCAGCAGCAGCAGCAGCAACAGGACAGGAGCAGCAGCACAGGAGCAGGAGCTGGATAGGAAGGCCATGAGGCGCCTGAGACGACGACCTAAGGAACGCTGTGAGAGCGTGCGCCGAGGCGTCAGGAGCACCCTGGGTGCCGACGCAGCGCGAGGTGTTGGCTAGGCCGAGGCATCGGGCCCGAAGCAACATGTTTGGAGCGCCGCAGCGAGAGATGTCGGCGAGGCCGCGGCGCGTGCCACGGCAACGGATCGGGGCCGCAACGATAGGAACGCGCTGGATTGCGCTGTGGCTGCGCTTGGGACAAGAGGCTGCCCGGCGCGCGAGCGGGGGCGGCGGGTCGGCCCCGGCGCCTCGGTTTTAGTTGGCTCCCCCGTGCTGATTGTCTTACCACTCTGAGGCGGGCTCACACCGCATTGCATCCCGCTCCCTGGGGCCTGCATCCATCGCATGTGCACATGCATGCATGCACCCATGTGTGGCTGCATCGCAGCCTGCGCGCTGCATGACTTGAACCATCATCCGTAGTGGCGAGCCCCGCCCGCGCCGAACACGCGGGCGCGCGGCAGTGAGCCCCGGCTTACACTTGATATGATGGCGCGCACCCCCACCCACCCACCACCCAACCCAATCGGTGTTATTCAACACCACCCCTGTCTGGATTGCTGGTCCTGAAACAGTTGAAATTGGCAGACCAGCCCGGCGCCCTGCCGCGCTGCGCGCTGCCACATGGCGGCAGATGAGGGTGGGAGACTCCTCCTGCAGGCGCCCTTCCGACCTGAGCGGCATTCTGTAAACCCCTGACTGTCCCAGCAACCTCTCTTTTGCCCAGGACGCCGGCGGCGCGCATCTGCACGTGCCTGCAGGTCTTTGCTGCGCGGCCTGGACCACTTGTCCACCGCTTCTTCCTGCGAATTCTTAGCAGCAGCTGGTTAAGGGCGGGCTCCCTCTACAGGTGAGGAGTGACATGCTCTGGGGAAGGCCGGCGCTTGGCGGCCGCTCCCTTGCAGCAGCTCGCTGTTTGTGCTGCACATTGGGGCAGGGGCAGCCATGCTGAACGGCCCACCCCGACGCTTCCTGCAGAGACCGAAATGCGCCCAACCTGCGCCCACGCTGCCGATGTGGGGTTTAGCGGGCGGACACACGCCTTCACCGTCCACCTCCCGGCCTGGCAGCCAGCGGGGCGGCGGCGCGGACGCAGGCTGCACAGGGCGGCAGCGAGGGCTGAGGCAGCCGAGCCCAGCGGCGAGGCGGCGGCGGGGTTGCGCCAGCCGCAGGCCGCCGCACGTGCCGCAGCACAGCCGGCGCTGGCGCAGCCCCAGCCGCAGCGCGACCCGTACACGCTGGCCGGCCAGCGGCTGCGCAGCCTGCTGAACGGCGTGGGCGACGGCGAGGTGAGGCGCGGGGCGGCGGCGCGGCGCTTTACGGCCGTCTGTCTCCTCCTCTGCCCGCTCCCGCTCCACGCCCGCCCCGCCCTGCCCTGGCGCAGGAGGAGATGCTGAACAACCTGCTTGAGGAGCAGCCCGCCAGCAGCAAGCTGGCGCTGTGCCTGCTGGCGGGGGGCCTCATCTCCGCCGGCGCCGCCGTCGTGTGCTGGCTGTGCGGGCTGGACCCCGCGGGCGGCGCCTCGCTGTCGGCCGACAGCCTGCGGGCGGCGGCGGTGGGCGGCGCGGCCGCCGCGCCGCTGGTGGCGCTCAAGGCGCTGCTGTGGAGCGAGGCGGCGCGCAGGGAGATGCCCTTTCTTGAGGACATCCACAAGGCGCAGGTGGTGGGGGCGCTGGGCAGGCTGGGGGGTGGGGGGGGTGGCTGTGTGTGCGCGCCTTGCGCGTGCATGGGCGAGCGTGCTGGGTGCGAGGAGGCGTGGGTGCGGTGTTGCCTGTGATGCGTGCGCGTGGGCAAGGTCGAACGCTGCGCCGCGGGGCGGCCGCCGGGGCGCGGCACGCGTTGCCCGCCCGCCCGCCGAAGCTGCCGCCGCGCCCTGCACCCGCCGCCGCCGCCGAAGGTGGACGCCTTCAAGCCCATGCTTTCCAACCTGAACGGCGCCCAGACGGCGGCGCTGCTGGCCTCAGAGGTGGTGCCCGGGGTGCTCATCCTGCTGCCCGCCACCACTGGCGGCATCACCAAGTCCCTCCAGATGTACTGCGACATGGCCGGCAGCCAGGCGCCCGACTTTTTGCCGGGCATCTTGGCGCTGCTCATCACCGCCTCCATCGCGGGGGTGGGCAAGGTGGGTACTAGAGGGCGGGGCGGACTGCTGGAGGGAGGGCTGCTGGCGGGAGGGCGCGCTGGGTGGTCCGGCCGACGGTGGGCAGCGTGACGGGCAGCGGCCTGCAAGGCAGCTGCGGGCAGTTGGGGCAGCAGCGCGGGACGTGGCGGCCCAGGGGCCTGTGGCAGCCGCGGGCTGCGCATGCTGCTGGCTGCGGCCGCCGCCGGAGCTGCCGCCGCCGCTGGGCTGCCCTTGCCTGCCGCCCGAGCGCCCTGCGCCGCGGCTGCGCGCCCCGCCATGCGCCGATCCGGCCCGGCCTCCTGCCCTGCCCCGCCCCACCCTGCCCTGCAGATTGCTGAGACGAGCGTGACGCTGGAGGAGTATGAGGTGGTGCGCAACGCGCTGGAGAACGCAGGTGTGTGCGTGTGTGTGTGTGTGTGGGGGGGGGGAACAGAGAGTGTGTGTGTGTGTGTGTGTGTGTGTGTGTGTATGTTTGCTGTGATGGTGCTGTGATGGTGGCAATGCGGGATGTTGTGGCGGTGTGTTGGGTGATGGTGGCGGTGTGTGGGGTGTGGCAGGCACAAGGGCACCAGCGCGCTGCCCGCCACCCTGCCCCCTGACCCTCCCCGCTGCCCCGCGGCCCCCGCCCCCGCAGACCGCTACTACCGGCTGACGGCCATGGACCGGGACAGCACCCCGGCAGATGCGCAGCGCGCCGCCGACGCCTTCAAAAACGTGGCCTTCACATGGATCGCGCGCAACCAGGTGCGCGGCAGGCGCTGCGCCCGCGCCGCCCAGCCCTGCCCAGCCCGCCCGCGCCGCCCAGCCCATCCAACCCAGCCACCCGCCCGCCGCGCCCGGCCCGGCGGGGCTGCGCTGCACGGGGGCCCCGCCCCTGTCATGGCATGCTTGGCCGCTGGCCGCAGCCTCCTCCCCACCAGGCGCCGCGGGCGCACGTGAGCCCGCACGAGCCCACACAGCCGCGCCCCGGCCTGTCCCGCCCCGCAGGTGGCGGTGCGCTTTGCCGCTGGGCTGGGCGCTCTGGAGGTCATCTATCTGGGGGTGCTCTGGCAGCAGACCGGAGACCTGGCGGCGCCCATGGTGGCGGCCCTCGGGTGAGAGCAGCCGCCCGCGCCGCCAGCCCGCGCCGCCAGCCCCCTCGCCAGCCGGGGCTGGCGCGTAGTGGGGCCTGCCCGCGCGCAGGCGGCCTGCCGCGTGGTCGGTCCGGTGTGGCAGCGGGGCTGGGTGGGCTGGCTGCTCGGCGTGTGTGTGGCCGCCTCGCGCGGCTGAGCTGCCGGCAGCGTGCTGACCTGCGGCTGCTGCTGCCGAGTGCGCTGCGCTGCTGCGCCTGCAGGGCGGCGGCCGTCGACTTTGCCCACATCAGGCGCCATGTCCCCGCCAAGGCCGGCTGAGCCTAGCCGTGCGGTGCTGCCCACCGTGGAGTCCCTGCTCGGAGGCCTGGGCCCGGCCCAGTGCCCTTGCACCCTGGCCTGGCCCGCCCCGCCCCTGGACGCCCCTCCTGTCTGTTGCCTGTTGCCCCCTGGCCCCCTGGCGACGCCCCTCCTTTCTTCTCCAAGCCCTGCCCAGCTCATTAGCCCCGCACAGTGCGGAGCTGCCCTTTGCTTCCTGTCCTCCCCCTCACCCAGCTAATCAGCAGAGACCCAGCGAATGAATTAATGCCAGTGGATTGCCCCACCCGGCACCCCAACATGCCATTTTTGTGCGAGCCCCCTGCCTCCCCTCCCATCCACGCTTTTCTTTTCCACCCTTGCCCTCCCCCCTGTTTTGCGGCTTTGCTGCTGGCGCGGTGCGGCGCATGCATGCCACCGCCCCAACCCCATCACCCCAGAGCTATTTCCCCTGGACCCCTTGCCTTCCCTCCTTTTGCCCTGCACGCTTCAGAAGCTCACATGGGCGCCACCCTGCACGGCTGTATTTTTATCTCTTTATCTCGAATCAAGAGCACTGTAACTCAAGCATTGCCTGTCGATGGCTGGTGGGGGGCCACAACAACTTAGCAGTAGCCGGCTGGGTGGAGGAAGGGGTGGAGGACCGGGGCTCCCGCGCTCCAAGGGCACCGCCGCAAACATTTTGCCGCCGTCACATGCAGCCATGCCATGTAGCAATGCCACAGGTATCCTAGCCATGCCAGCAAGCTTCCAATCAATCCCAGGTTGAGCTGTCACAGCGCAAGGGTACTCGCTCCTGTGACCATCCAGGCTGCCGTGCATCGCCGCCTCAGCGGGCATGTCATGCCCACCCCAGAACCGGAAGCGCCGCCGATCGTGGCCTGTTCCTTGGCGCTTGCCAAACCGATCTTGTCCTCCAGTCCCTCCACTCCTCCAGGCTTCTCTTCCTCAGTGTTGCTGCCAGTTCAGTCACTTCCCCCAGGTATCCTCCTACCCAGCCTCCCCGCCATCAGGACTGGCTCCGGACAGCCATAGCAACGCTTGAGGCCTGTTGGCGAGCTACCAGCGGAGGCCGCCCCATGGGGCGCGTGTGCCTCCTGCTCCTCTGCCTAGTCGCGGCTTGCAGCTCTGTCAAGGTGCGCCGGTGCATATGTTGCCTTGAACATGAGGCAGGGGCGGCACCGGCAGCCGCTGTAGGCGTGGCATGCTGCGTAGCCGCTCTGCTCCTGAAGAGGAGAAGCCCCTGCTGCTTGCCTTCCTGACGCAGGCGGCGAGCCGGCCGGCCAAGCCGGCGCGCCACCCCTCGCGGCTGATCGTCCGGTTTGCCAGCGACGCGGCGGTGTCGTCGGCGGCGGCGGCGGCGGCGGCGGCGGCGGCGGCGGGCACCGACACGCTGAAGCTCGTGGCGCCGCGCCTCAACCTGTTCACGGTGAAGGTCACGGACGGCAGCAGCCCCGAGGAGAAGGCAAAGCAGCTGACGGCGATGCCAGGTGGGTGGCAAGCATGCGGCCCTGAGCTTGGCCGGTGACGGCAGCAGCTACCGGCGCAGCTGCCGCCGCAGCATGCGACGCAGCCACAGCCCTGCTGCTGCCTGCTGCTGCTGCCACAGGCATACTGTACGCCGAGGTGGAGCTGCAAATGGAGCTGGCCGGGCGCGCCTTGGCACAGACGCGGCCACCGCCGCCGTCGCCGACGCGCGAGCCGCGCCCGCAGCCGCGCGCCGCCGTGCGCCGGCCCCGCCGCCGCCCCGCCACCGTCACGCCCAACGACACCTTTTGGTCGCAGCAGTGGGGGCCGGTGAGGGCCGCTGCATCCCTGCGCACAGCAGACACGGCTGGAACTTTTCAACAACAAGCTTCTCTTCACCCCTGCTGATGTACATACATGGTCAGGCGCATGCCGCCGTCAGCAGCCCACTGCCTCCCCCTGCACCTTCCTCGCCCGCAGGCCATGATGAACGCCGGCACGGGGTGGGGCCTGCACCGGGACGCCGCCAGCGTGAGGGTGTGCCTGGTTGACTCAGGGGTGGCCTGGGGGCACCCAGACCTGGCCGCCAACCTGGCGCCCATGTCGGAAGCCTACCAGGCGCTGCACACCGACCGCTACGGCCACGGCACGCACGTGGCGGGGATTGTGGGCGCGGTGAGAGGCCGCGCCGCGTGGCGCCGCCGTGGGCGCCGTGCCCCCGCAGCAGCCGACGGGCAGGTGGCCGGCACAAGGGTGGCGCCGCCGCCGCCCTGCTGCGCCACCCTCTCACGCCTCGTTTCCGGCCTGCTCGTGCGCTGTGCCGCGCTTGCAGACGCCGAGCAACGGCCTGGGCGTGGCGGGGCTGGCCTTCCGCACCAGCCTGCTCGCTTGTAAGGGGCTCGAGGATGACGGCACGGGTTATGTCAGCACCGTCGTCGGCTGCATCGACAGCTGCAGGTGAGGGCGGCGGGCCGCCAGCGTGGGCCTGCCTGCGGCGCCCTGGCGCCAGCCAGGCCCGGCATGCAGGCTGGTTGCTTGAGCTTGCGGTGCGGGGGCCCGCCTCCTGTCCTGGAGGAAGCCGCCTGCTGCGCTGTGCCCGACCCAGCCGCCCGCCCGCCCGCGCGCCCCTGTGTCGACTTCAGGTCGCTGGGCGCCCACATCATCAACCTCTCCATGGTGCTGCAATCCTTGTCCACCCGGGACGACGTCCGCTCCCTCAACGCCTCCATCAAGGCGGCCACAGACCACGGCGTGTTCATCAGCAGGTGGGGCGACCTGGGCAGGCACCGGGTGGCGGGCGCCGGCGCCGCGCCAGGTGGCTGGCCACCTGGGCAGGGGCTGCCAGCGCCCCCGCCAGGGTGCCTGGTGTTCCGTTCCCCCCGGGCAGGCGGCCGCCGTCCCGCAAACTGCCGCGTCCCTGGCACCTGCTGCTGCTGCCACAGTGCTGCCCAGCCCGCACCCCACCCCACCCACCCCACCCCCTGGCTTGCCGCTCCACGCTGTTTTTTTGCCCTGCTCCTTCATTGCAGCGCCGCTGGGAACAACGAGCTCGACCTGGACTACCGCCCCGTCTACCCCGGCAGCTTTGGCTACCCGGGGCTGGTGACTGTGGCCAATGTGCAGCGGGATGGCATGCTGCACCAAGCAGCGTGAGGCACTGCCGGGCCAGGGCAGGCCGCCGCTTGCGCCCAACCAACGCGCCCGACGCGCCCGCCCACCACCACCCAGCCTTGCCCGCCCTCACGGGCCGCCGTCGCCGCGCCTGGCACGGCCGCTGCCGGCTGCTGCCCGCCCCCATTGCGGGCGCTCGCTGCCCAGCACGCCCCCGCCCCTCCTTTCCTCCTGCTCGCAGGTGGAACGCTGGCAGCAACTTTGGCGCCAACTCGGTGCACCTGGCGGCCCCCGGCACCGACATTCTTTCCACCTACGACGAGTCCACCTTGAAGTGGGGGGGGGCCTACCAGATCATGACAGGCACCAGCATGGCGGCGCCCGCCGTCAGCGCTATCGCAGCCCTCGCGCTGCCTGCGTCGGGCGGCAAGCTTACAAACGTGCAGGTGGGCGGGCGGGCGTGTGGTGGTGCCGCACCGGCCCTGCGGAACCACGTGCGCAGCACAGCAGGGGGCCGCTGAGTGGGACCCCGGCGGGGCAGCTGGGGCATACCTGGGCACAGCGGCGGCTGTTGCCTTTTGGGAAAGTTTGCCGGGTGGCATTGGGGGAGCCCCGGCCCGCCCCTTACCCTCCCCGGCCCCGCCGCCTGCCCTGTGCAGCTGCAACAGCTGCTCATACGCACTTCGCGGCCGCTGCCCGCCCTCAAAGGCAAGGTGATGTCTGAAGGGGTGGTGGACATGTACCAAGCGATTCTGGAGGCCAGAGCGTATGCCTGACCCCCGTCCAGCGACGCACACATGCCGAGCACGGCCCCACCTCCCAGCCTGGCACTGCTGGAACATAATGCATGCACGCCTGCTGGCCGAATGGGCCCAGCCATCCACGGGTGGCAGCAGCGCAAGCCTGCAGCCAAATGAGCGCAATACGTCCTCCATGATTTCATTTGCATTGCTTTGTTTTGAACGCCACACGGACTGAATTGAGTTGATGCGGTCAACTCCGCAAACGCACACTGCCCTCGCTTTCAGCGCCACAACTTCTTTCCCCAATTCATTATTTTCCCTTCCATCATGATTCCAGCTCACCCTCTCCCATCTACCACCTCTGCCAACTGCTGCTGCCTCGTCTGCTCTGTTAGCGCGACGCACAGCTGCGTCAGGAATGCACCAATGCGATGGTCCACAGATGGCAGATGCTGCCAGCAGCAGCGGAGGTGCACATGTTGTGCTTGAAAAAGCCAGTGTATTAATTGAGATGGGATTGAACGCCCAAGAGATGGGAAATGATGCAGGAGAGGGCATGAGTTCGAATGGCATCAGTTTGAATCAGTCATTAGTGTAAAAAATGATGAGTCGAATGCGTGGCAATCACTCCGCCTGGCCTCCTGCTGCTGCCACTACTCCTGCTAATGCCGCCGCTGCTGCTGCCGGCGCCGCGCCACCCGCTCCTGCATCCGCCAAGCCTGCCGCGGCCCCGCATCCCGCCGGCAGCCCAGCCAGCTGTGCCTCCGCCGCCTCCAGCTGCTTCTGCGCCGCTCCCAGCTGCAAGCGCTGGCGGTAGTCGTTGTTCTGAAATGGCAGCGGCTGCTGGTGCTTGTCCGCCAGCCGCAGCAGCGCCAACTGTGACTCCTGCAGAGGCGCAAGGTACGGCAAGGGCACAGCATGGCGCGGCAGGGCGGGTAACGAAGAGTATGCAAAAAGACAGAGGGAAGAGGCAAAGGGAGAGGAGAGCGTCACGCACATTCCGTGCTTGCCTGGGTGTCGGCCACAAACGAGGAGCACAGGCGCTCCAGCTCCTGCTGCGAGCCGCCGCTGCTCAGCAGGGACGCCACCTGGTTTGCCGTCTCCAGGGCTGACAGCAGCTTCTGCAGCTTTGCAGCAGAAGGGGCGGGGCGGTGGCTCGTCCGCTGGGTGGCGGGTGGGCGGCAGGAGGCAGGCTGTAGCATCGGCACCCCAGATCATCGCTTGGAGCGTACCTGCTCGGCGGCCTGCAGCTCTTCCAGGTCGGAGGAGCGCGCTGGCTCAGCCATGTGCGAGACAGCGTTTGGGGTGGCTGGTTGGGTGCTTCCCAGGGGATAGGAAGCCTCAGGTTGTGGCAACCTAAGCGTGCGCAGAGATGGTGGCATGCCCCGATTGATTTACAAGTGCCCCATCAGCCTGCCCAGCGCACAGCACGGCCTTGCACGAGCCATAGCAATGCCTAGCGGGCTACAAGGCATATTTCATGCATGGATGCATTGCTGGGATATGGTAGCGAGAGCCAAAGCGGCAGCGAGTCTGATGTGAGCGATTCTTGGACCTCAGAGCCATCTCTCAAGCGGCAGAAGAGCAGCAGGTGCGCACGTCCTGGATGCGGCGATCGGCATCAGTTGAGTGCCTGGCGCCTGGCTCTGCCAACACCAGTGCTGCCCACACCCCCGCCGGCTCCCGCCTGCAGTTCGCCGCCCCTCAGTCGCCCTCGCTCGCCCGCGCTGCCAGCCCCCTCCCTGCTGCCGCCGGCTGGCGCGCTGCTGGACGGCACTTACTCGCCGCCGCCGGCGCACCAGCAGCGGCAGCTGGAGCAGGCTGTGCTGCACCAGGGGCGCAGCCGTGCTTTCCCGCACGTCACCGGCAACTACCCCACCCACGTGTTTGTTGCAGGCAAGCTCGCCCTGCGCGCTGCCGCATTGGCCGCGGCCTTTCTTGCCGCAGCTTGTATCCTGCCTTCAGGGAGCAGAGCAGAGCACCCTGCTTGGGCTGCCGACGGCCAAACCAACTGCCAAACCGCTGGCACCTTTCCCGCCTGCAGTGGACACCCCTGCCGCCTGCCTGGAGGCCTTAGAGGCGCTGCTGCAGCTGCTGTGCGCCCGCCTGCCCAGCCTGCAGCCGGCTGCTGCAGCGGCCAGCGCCAGTCACGTCAGCGACAGCGGTGGCGGGGCCTCGAGCTCGCCAGCGGCGGCGCCTGGCCAGCCGTCGGCGCCGCCGCCCCGCCTGGCGCAGCCGCGGTACCACATCAGCCTGTCCCGCACCGTACCGCTGCGCCTGCACCAGATCGAGCCCCTGGTGGCAGACCTGCGCAAGCGCCTCAGGTGGGTAGGCATGCAGCCGCCGGCGGCAGCTGGGCTCGCGCCAGAGGAGCGGCGCGGTGGGGTGGGATTGGATGGGGTGGGCTGCACCTGTTCCACGGCCGCAGCACGTCCCGAAATGGAAACCCCATGTGATGCCTCTGTGGGGCTGCAGGCAGCAGGAGACCTTCTGCATACGCATGGGGCGGGCCGAGGTGTTTTGCAACGACGACCGCAGCCGCACCTTCCTGTCCCTGCGGGCCTGCGGCGTCGGCGGCGTCGGCGACTCCGGATGCTGCCCAGTAGCCGACGCTGCGCAGGCCGCCGACGCTGCGCAGCAGCAGCAGCGGGAGGGTGGGGAGGAGGCGGGTGGCGAGGTGCGGGGGCCGGCCGAGGCGGGCGCCGGCCCGCAGCCCTACAGCAGGCAGCTGGTGGGCCTGAGCCACGCCGTCAGCCGCGTGTTTGCGGCGCACGCCCTGCCCCGCTTCTACGCCGAGCCACGGCCCCACGCCTCTGGTGCGCGCCCGCCCAGGGTGCCTGCCGCCCTGCCACATCGTGCTGTGTGGCCGGCAGCCAGCCGCCGCAGGTGGCCAGCTGCTGCGCAACCCAAGGTGCCGGCCTGGTGCCTGCCCTGCAGTTGCGTGGGTGCTGGGGGACCACCAGCAGGCGCTGGAGGCTGCGCTGGCAGTGGCGGAAGTGCAGCAGGCAGCGCGGCGGCTGGCGGAGCGGCCGTGGCAGCTGCGGCCGGCGGCCGTCGTGTGCAAGGCGGGGCAGCGGGAGCACGCGGTGTGGCAGGCAGCGCTGGCTGACGCTGAGGGCGGGCCGCGCTGAGCCGCCGCCGTGCGGGGCTGTTACAAGGCAATAATTACAAGGCAAAGCGTTTCTGTCACTGGCGGCCTCATTGTACAGCCTGAGCAGTCGGCGGCGCGGGGCTGCTGCTGCTGGCAGAGTCAAAGCAACGGGGGGCGCGGAGCAGGAAGGGGGAACCGACAACCGTGGCAAGAGAGGGGGGAGGAGAGCAACAGTCCAAGGGGGCAAGCGAGTCGGGTGGGAAAAGAGGGGAGAGAGCAAGAGCGCACGCGCAACGGCTGCGTGCAAGAGGCAAATGAATGGTAGCGAACGGGCAGAAGGGCAGGGCAGCGCCAAGCTGCTGGCCGGCGGCAACGGCCCGGTACTGGCGGTTCAGTTCGAATCAATTCTGACTTGCGTACAGCCAAGGGCATATAGCCAAAAGGGTTTAGTTCTTGGAGGGAGGGCAAGGGGAGGGCAGCCAGGCCTGCTGAGCCCGCTGGGATCAGCACGCGGCTGCCGGCGGCGCGGCGCCGTCCTGGCCGCTCTGCACGCCCGAGCCCAGGCTCTTGCTGCTGGTGCCCAGCGGCAAGCCTGTGACGGACACGCGCTGGAAGCCCACCACCAGGCGGCGGCAGAAGGGGCAGTGCGGCGGCTTCTTGTTCTGCTGTGTCAGGTTGCGGGCGCAGGCCAGGCACAGCTTGTGCTGGCAGGAGGCAAAGGCCACCTCCACCTGCGGCCAGGCAGGGGGCAGCACAGCGCGCCACATCAGCTGCCCGCCCGGCGCGCTGCCTACGGGGCATGCACAGGCGTGGCAGGCACGCCGTCGAGGCGCCCACAACACAAGCACGCACCCCGATCCCCGACCCTGCTGCCGCCGCCCCCGCCTCCCCGGCGCCTCACCAGCGCGTCCAGGCACACGCCGCACTCCACATCCTCCCCATCCTCCTCCCCCTGGCTCAGCGGGCTGTCCGGCTCTCCCTCGCTGTCCAGCCCCAGGTCCTTCTCCTTGTCGCTGGCCAGAGCCAGCGCCTGCACCGCGCCCTGCTCCCCAGCCAGCGCCGCCGCCACCGCCGCCGCGGCCGCCGCCGCGCCGGGCTCGGGCGGGGGCGGCGGCAGCACGCCGCCGCCCTCCCCGCTGCGCCGCCGCATGCCAAACACCATGCTGCCCATGGCCGCCCCCATGCCCATGCCCATGCCGGGGAGGGCCATGCCGCCCAGGCGCAGGTTGCCCTGCACACGCACACCCACGAGCGCACAGGCGGCACGGTCAGCTGGCTGCCAGGCCCTCAGCACACGTGCCGCTGCTGCCACGCACGCGCTCGCCGGCGTGCCACCCAGCGGGCCCCTGGCCGCTCCTTCCCCCAAGGCAAAGCTGGCCCCTGGAGACTCGATCCCCCAAGGCAAGCCCCCCCGCCAGCCCCGTCGGTACCTGGGAGGAGGTGCGGCGGTGGGAGATGGGCACCACCTTGATGGTGCGGTCGGGCGGCGAGGCGGCGCCGCCGGGCAGGTCCCGGGGCGATGCCGCCGGCGGCAGGCGCGGGCTGTCTGTCATGGACCCTGCACCGGTGGGCGTGCCCGCATCCGCCGCCACGCCGGTGGGGCCAGTGAGGAAGCGCACGCGCGCCGCCGCCGCCATGCCGGCCGCGCCGCTGCTGTTGCGCAGCAGCTGGTGCGGCGGCACGCTGCCCGACAGCTGGCGCGCGAGCTGGCGCGCGCCCGCCGCGCCGCCCGCCGCCGACTCGATGGCGGCGGTGGAGGCGGGGCGCTTGATGCTCAGCATGCCCATGTAGCCGTGCAGGGAGGCCATGCGCTGCGCCCCGGCCTGCCCCGCAGCCGCATCCAGGCCAGGCACCGCGCCCACGGTCGCCGGCCCCGCCGGCTCAGCCGCCACGCCCAGCCTGCCGCCGGGGCTGACCGGCGCGCTGGCGGCGCCCGGGATGTGGGCATAGGGGTGGGGCGAGGGCGGCGCCGACCAGTTGCCCGCCAGCGCGGCGGCCAGCGCGGCGGCGGCGGCAAACGGCGAGACGGCGGCCGCGTCGTCGACGTCTGCTGCCGCCGCCGCGTCGCCCGCCGCCTGCTGCGCTGCGCCGGCCGGGGCGGGGGCCGGCCCGCCTGCCGTGGGCGGCGGCGAGGTGGCGTCCGCTGCGGCCGCGGGTATCGTGCTGATCTTGCTCCGGCTGCTGCTGCGGCGGCCCATGGAGGCGCGCGGGCGCGGCGGCTTGCCCGCCGCCTCCCTGGCCAGCTCCCGCTGACAGTTGTCCAGCCACTGCAGCAGCGTGCGCTGCAGCACCAGGGAGCAGATGGTGGAGAGGCGCTTGGGGCCGATGCCGTGCTCCGTGTCCCTGCGGCGGCGGCGGGGGTGGAGGCGCGGGCGGGTGAGCGGCAGGCGCGGGGCGGGAGCATGCATGGCCTGGTCTGGCGACACAAGCAGGCACAGGGGATGGGCACGACTGGCCGGCTGGCTGGCTGGCTGGCTGGAGGATTCATGCTCATGGCGCTGCGGCCGCCAGGCTGGCAACGCCAGCTGGCGCCCCTGGCTGCTGAGCTGGCTGCTGACCTGGCGGCATCCAGCGCCACGTCGATGGGTATGCGCGGGTCCACCAGCGACATGAGCTGCGGCTGGTGCCGCTCCCGCGCCAGGTGGAAGGGCAGCTTGCGGAAGTGGTTGCGCACGGAGCGGATGTCGGTGCGGGAGGTGCCCTCCCAGGGGCGCCGCCCGCGCTCGTCCAGCGCAGTGCCCAGGATGTTCATCATCTCCATGTGCGCCTGCGGGAGGGAGGGAGGGGAGGGAGGGAGGGAGGGAGGCGAGGGAAGCCGTAGGCAGGGCATGTGTAAGACTGGGGTGGAAGGCCGGGGGGGCGAGGGGCGGGGCTGGTGCACGCACGCCGGCAGCCGTGCGGCGGCAGGCCGGCGGCGCCAGGCCCGGCTGCCCCACGGCTCATTGGGGGATGGCGAGGCGGAGGAGGCTGCGCTGTGCGGCGGCTGCGCCCAGGCGCGCCTGCAGGATGGCGTGCACGATGGAGATGTTGTTGATGATGACGGCCACGTGCAGCGGGGAGGAGCCAGGCACCAGGAAGTCCTCCCCTATGTATGCCTCGCCGTCTGCAGGGGGCGGCGCACGGGGACGGTGGCAGCTGTGTGTGTGAACGTGTGGATGTGAAGGGTGAGGGCGAAAGAGTGGCAATGATGGGCAGGCCGCCGACACATGGCGTGGGGGAGGAGCCGGGGGGCCTCGATTCGCCTGGCAGGAGCCAGAGTCGGCGGTTGCTCCAGCAGCAGGGTCGAGCTGCTCACCCACACCCCACACCCCACACCGCCAACCCCAGCAGCAGCAGCAGCAGCGGCAGCGGCGGCGGCAGCAGCGGGCCACCCACCCGACTTGACCATGATGGATGCGCCCCCCCTCAGCAGCGCCTGCACCGCCTCCAGGCTGCCCGTCACCACCGCAAAGTGCAGCGCGGTCAGCCCGCCAAACGCGCGCTGGTCGATAAAGCGGCAGGCCTGGACCTGCGGCGGCGGCAGCAGCAGAGGAGCGGGAGGTTGCAGGGCCGCGGCGGTGGAGGCGTGGCTGAGCCAGGCCTTGGGAAGCACAGCCGCAAAGGCACAGCCGCAAAGGCAACCTCTGCTGGCTGCTGTGCGGGTCCCGCTGGCACCGCGCTCTGCCTGGCAACTGGCGATGCCACGGCCGGCTGCCGGTGCCGGTGCTGGTGCCCGCGCGCCAACCCCCACCACACAGCAGCTCCTCCACACACACACACACACACACGCCAGCCCACCTGCATGTCTGATACGATGACGTCCCGCAGCGGGCGGGCGCCGTCCTGTGTGGCCACCATGGCGCCGTCTGAGCACAGCAGGAGCAGGCAGTCGGCGTGGCCGCCCACCGCGGCGTAGTGCAGGCAGGTGCGCGAGTGCACAAAGTCGGCGGCCAGCGGGTCGGCGCCTTCGCGCAGCAGGTAGGCAGCCACGGCGGCGTGCCCGTGCTCGCACGCCAGCATGAGCGGCGTCAGCGACTTGTGGCTGCGCTGGTTCAGCACCGTAGCCAGCAGGCGCCGCCACTTGGCGGCCGCCGCCGAGCGCTTGCTGCCGCCGGCCGCCGCCGCCGCCGCGGACAGCGCCACGCGCTGCTTCAGCGGCTCCACGATGGCGTGGCACACGGCCAGGTGGCCGGCAGCTGCGGGAGGGTGGAGGGGCGAGGCGGTGGTCAGTGTCAGCGGCGGCAACAAGGAGGAATGCACTGCGCAGGGCAGCGGGCGCGTGTGTGGAGGCGGCCCGGAATGGGCGTGCTGGCTCACCTGCGGCGCGGTGCAGCGGGCTGGTTGTTCCATGGAAGCCGGTGAAGGCTGCAAGCTGGGGCCGGTCGCGTAACACCTGCAGCGCAGCAAGGCGGCCGGTGAGGTGCCGGCGGGGGGCGCCAGCGGCGGTCAGGTGGGGTGTACGTCAGCCCGCCGGCCGCCGCCGAACTGAGTCCATCCGCCTGGTCCCCTTGACCGCAGTGATGTAGGGGGCAGGGCGGGAGCCGGCGGCGTGTGACCACTGGTGGGGGCCAGCCTTGACCGGGCCCGAACGTAACAGTCCCACCCGCTGCATCCGTCCCCGTTCCCTGCACTGCTACTACGGCCACTGGCGCTGCCCGACACAGGGGCAGGGCTGCTCGCACCTCCTGCACAATGTGTTCGTCCCCTCTCTCCGCCGCAGTCAGCAGACGAGAGGCGGCCCCGAACTGACACCCCAAGAGGACGCCCAAAGACGCCCTCAAAGCCATTGGGGGCTTGGGCGCTGGCGGCCCAGCGGCGTGCAAAAAAGCTGCCTGTAGCGGTTCTCAGGGTTGAGTGAACACTGTATGAACCAACATTACGTCTCTTCCAAAGAGACAAGAGCGAGGACAAGGGCACCCTTCCGCCAACTCGGATCGGTGCCAACTCAGCCCAAAATTGAAGGCGCCTGCCCGCTACTTGCGCCTGAAACCCAAAGGATATCGTGTGACACAGCGCTGAAGGGAGAAGACGCGCCCCGCTGGCCTGCTGGAAACCTTGCTGGGGGCGGCGGCGGCGGCGCCGAAACGGGGAAGAGGCGGCACGTGCACAGAGGCGGCTTGCATGGTGCCATGCAGCCACTCTACTCAAGCTTGGCCTGGCTGGGGCTGCCACGCCTCCATCCCGCCAGCTGCGGCACAAAGCGCCCCGTGCTGCTCCTGTACTGCCGATACTGCTCTCCAAAGCTTTGCTCCAGCAGCCGCTCCTCGATGCGGGTCCTGGAACGGTAGTAGGCCAGGCATGCCGCCCAAAGGAAGCCGGCTGCCATGGGGCTGCCCAGGCTGCAGGTCAAGCGGAGGCCAACAGCGAGGGGTGGCAGGCAGGGCGTGCCTGTTGCAGGAGCACAAGCAAGATGCAAGGGCCAGGCCCTGCTTTTGAGCAGCCAGCCCTACAATGACCTGGGACAGCCCCCCCAAAAAACAAAACCACGCACGAGAAGCCCCTCACCTCAGGCAGTGCCCCACAAACAGCATCATGTAGCTGGTGTAGAGCGGGTGCTGGATGTGCGCATAGCAGCCGCACGTGACCAGCCTGTCGGGCGCCACCAGCCGGTTGAAATCCTGCAGCAGGGCAGCAACCCTTCCAGGCAGCTCAATTGGCACGGCATGGGTCAACAGCAGGCGGGCCTCCTGCCTAGAAGGAGCCTATGGCCCCGTTTAACATTTGTAAGATGTCGACTTGCCTTGCCGAGGGCTGCAGCGGCGGCGGCGTTCAACGCCCAGGCTGCCACCATCAGTGCGTACCCAAGGGCCGGCAGGAGCAGCTGCGCCGTGCCGCTCAAGGCGCCGGGGCTGGATGCTGCCAGGCTGCTGTACCACCAGGCGCCGTAGTGGCCCGCCGGGACCGCCACCGCGGCAAACAGCAGCAGGGCTGCCCTGCTTCCGCCGCTGCCGCGCTGCGCGTCCTGCTGGCGGGACGCCAGCCGGCCGTGTCGGAACATGCGGCGCAGGGTGCCGCTAGCAAAGAAGAGCAGGTAGATGCTGAAGCTGGCGGCTGCGCGCAAGGCACGCTGGCCCGCCAGCAGGCCGCCGCTGAGGTGCGCCGGCAGCAGGATGAGCCCGGCCAGCGCCACTGCCAGCAGCAGCACCTGCCGGACCGCACGGAACATCAGGGTGCTGCTGCTGCTGCCATCGCTGGTTCCATTTTCGTAGCTGCTGTCAGTAACGCTGCCGCTTCCGACACTCTGGCTGCTGCCTGCGTCTGGCCCGGCAGCTGCTGTCCGGCAGCGGCGGCGTGAAGGCGGGGCGGCAGCTTGCACCGGCAGCGACGGTGATCTGGCCGGGTTCCTTTTCGGACATCGTGCTGCAGCAAGGGCCTGGCGTTGAATTGTGCAGGCAGCGGGCGGCCTGCCTGCACCCAGCCTGCAGGAGGCCACCGAGCTCGCAGCAGGTGGCGCTGCAACCATTTCCAAGAGCTCCAGATGCACTCAAGGAATCGATGCAATTCCATGGGAGGCGTAGGTCCGCGCCTTACCAGCTGCTGCTGCTGCAGCAATGCTGCATTGAAACGACACGTGGAATGAGCTGTCAACTGCCACCATCTCGTCTCAACGCTTTGCCACTCAATTATATGGAACCAATGCATGCCTTCTAGCACCCAAATCGGCTGCCAGGTCACTTGCTGCTGCCATAGCCAATCAATCGAGGGCGGGGTTGCCCCTGTGGAGCCGCAGTGCACAGCATGGACCCTCTCAAGCTGCCCATCAGGCAGTACCAGCAGCAGATTGTGGACTCTGTGCGCAACAATCCCGTGACGGTGGTGATTGGCGAGACGGGGTCGGGCAAGACCACGCAGATATCGCAGATCTTGGAGGAGGCTGATTTTGCAGACGACGGAATCATCGGGGTAACCCAGCCTCGCCGAGTGGTGAGTGCGGCAGGCGGGCGGCGGCTGCCTTTCTGCCGTCCAGTCTGTCCCTCCCTCAGCGCCCCCCGCCTCCTGCCCTTGCCCCTCCTGATCTCCCTGACTGTCCCGCTGTGCAGGCGGCGGTGACTGTGGCGCGGCGGGTGGCCTGGGAGAAGAAGGTGGAGCTGGGGCAGGAGGTGGGGTATGCGGTGCGGTTCGAGGACCGCACCAGCCGCTGTACTCGCATCAAGTACCTGACAGGTGTGTGTGTGTGTGTGTGTGTGGTGGTGGGGGGCTGAATGGGCGGGTGCAGCGAAGGGCAGGGCGCAGGGCAGGGCCAGGCTGGCTGGTGCGAGGTGGTCTGGCTAGTGATTGGCTGGCCTGCCGCTCGAGTCTGATCACTAGCCACCAGCCAAACCCCCCTGCCTCCCTTCTGGGCCACACTCCTTCCCGCCCCACCCGCCGCCGCAGACGGCACGCTGCTGCGCGAGTGCTTGGACGATGCTGAGCTGGCGCGGTACAGCGTGCTGGTACTGGACGAGGCGCATGAGCGCTCCCTCAACACAGACATCCTGTTTGGCCTGCTCAAAGAGCTGGTGGCGCGCAGGTGCGGCGGTGGGGGGCCCTTGGGGCTATGCAGGCCTGCAGAGGCTGCAAAGGCAGCAAAGTGGGCGGGAGCTTGGCCGGCGCGGCCGCCTCCGCAGCGCCGGGGGAGGTGCTTCCAATCAGCCGCTGGCCGCAGCCCCGCCCTGCTTTGTCTGTCCCCAGCCACTCGCCCCCCCCCACCCAACCAAGCGACACCCATGCGTGCCGCACGAGCAGGAAGAGGCCGCTGAAGCTGGTGGTGACCAGCGCCACGCTGGACGGCGAGAAGTTCTCAAAGTACTTTTCCTCCTGCCCCGTCTTCCACGTAAGCGCAGGAAGAAAGCGGGGCGGCAGGCTGGCAGCTGGGCTGCGGGGTGGGAGTGCGCCCCCGCCGGGCCGCCGCCGCCCGGTCCGCCGCGCGGGGCGCGGGCCTGCCCGTCCCGTCGCGCATGCGCGCCGGCACGTGCACGCTGAGGCTGAGGCGTGGCGCCGCCGCCTGCCTGCGCGTGGGTGGCGTGCAGGTGCCCGGGCGCGCCTTCCCTGTTGATGTGGTGCACGCTCTTGAAGACCACACGGGGGAGTACCTGGCGGCGGCGGTGGACGCGGCGGTGGACATACACTGCAACCAGCCTGAGGGTGGGGAGGGCATGGGGGCTGCAGTGGTGGCGGGGTGTGTGCGGTGGCGGCGGTGGCTGCTGGCGGAGCGGGTGGCTGGTGGCTGTGCGGGTGGGTGGCTGGGTGGCTGGGTGGCTGGCCGGGCTTCACTTGGGGTGTCCCAGCCTCCCCTCCAACGCCTCTCCTCTCCTTCCCTCTCCTCCCACACCCATCCCCTCTCCCACGCCCACGCCCACACCCACACCCACACCCACACCCACACCCCACACCCCACACCCTCCCCCAGGCGACATCCTCGTCTTCCTGACTGGCCAGGCCGAGATCGACAAGGCGGTGCGGCAGCTGAATGAAGCGGTGCGGCAGCTGCCCGCCCACGCCTGCGGCGACCTGCTGGTGCTGCCCATCTACGCGGCGCTGCCGCCGGAGATGCAGGCAAGCTTGTGCCGCCGCCATTGCCGCTGCTGCTCCTGCTGCTGCTGCTGCTGCTGGTGCCGCTGGTGATAGTGGTGGTGGTGGTGCTGCTGCTGCGTGTTGCCCTCGGCTGCTGCCTTCTGGCGCCGCCCGCCTCCTGCCGCGGCTCCAGCGCCGCTGCATTGCTAAGCCGAGGCCACCGCTCCTGCTGCGCCGCTGCCCTGCAGGCGCGCGTGTTTGCGCCCGCGCCCTCCGGCTGCCGCCGCTGCATCGTGGCCACCAACATCGCAGAGACGTCCGTCACGGGTGGGCTGCACTGGCGGAGGGGGTGGGCTGGCGGTGGGGTGGGCTGGCGGAGGCGTGGACTGGCGGGGAAGGCGGGCGGGCTGGCGCGCCGGTCCGCCCTGCGAAAACCCTGCTTCCACCGCTTCCAGGCCGGCCCCGCATGCTGAGCTGAGGTACCGGCCTTGTTTGAGCGCCATCCCGGGCCCCCACCACCCCTGGCCCTCTCGTGCGCCCTTGCGCCCAGCCCACACCCCTGCCCCACCTCCCCGCCCCGCCCCGCCCCGCAGTGGACGGCGTGGTGTATGTGATTGACAGCGGCATGGTGAAGCAAAAGGAGTACAACCCTCGAACCGGCATGGACAGCCTGGGGGTGACGCCCATCAGCCGGGTGCAGGCCACGCAGCGGGCGGGGCGCGCGGGGCGCACCCGCCCCGGCAGGTGCTTCCGCCTCTACACGCAGAAGTTCTTCGAGCGAGAGATGCCTGACACGGTGTGTAGGGGTGTGTGCGGGTGTGTGTGGTGTGTGTGTGGATGTGTGGGGGGGAGATGCATCTGGTTTGACGGGTGCGCTCGGACGTGTTACTTGGGTGGGAGAGAGAGTGTGCGTGTGTGCGTGTGTATGCGTGCGGTGATGAAGTGTGGAGCTCGGCAGGAGGCAGGCAGGCGCGCAGCCAGGCAGCCGGGCTGCTGTGTGGGGCGCCGCCGCGTGGCATCGGCCCCAGCCCGCACGCATGGCGATGCAGCCGCCACTGTGCGTGCGCCGCTTGTGCAGCCGCCAGCACAACACACACGCACGCACACACACACACCTGCAGACCGCCCCCGAGATCCAGCGCACCTCTCTGGTGGGCGCCGTGCTCTACCTCAAGTCCCTGCCCCTCTCCATCGACGTGCTGGGCTTCGACTACCTGGATGCGCCCGCGGTGAGGCAGGGGGCAGGGGCAGGCTGTGTGGTGGCAGGCTGTGTGGTGGTGGGGCTGTGTGGTGGCAGGCTGGGTGGTGGTGGGGCTGGTCACCTGGGCGCAACCCGCGGTGAGGCAGGGGGCAGGGGGGCTGGGGTGGTGGTGGTGTGCACATGCGTGTGTGGTGCGCGCTGGTGGAGCAGAGGAGGGGTGGGTGGC